TGCCCAAATCCCCCCAGTTGCCCCCAGATCCCTCCAGGTGCCCCCAGGTGCCCCCAGTTGCCCCCAGGTGCCCCCAGGTGTGCCCAGGTGCCCCCAGATGTGCCAGGTGCCCCCAGGTGCCCCCAGGTGTGCCAGGTGTGCCCTTGTGCAGGAGGAAGGGCTCTCTGAAGGCCAAGAAGTGGAGATCCATCTTCCACCTGGGCCGATCCGGCCACGAGGCCAAGAGGAAATCGGGCAAGGCCGAGGACAAAGGTGGGAATTCCTGGGAATTCCGGGGGGGGGGGGGGATATTTTGTTTCCCCAAATCCCCCTTGGTGTCCCCAAACCCCCCTGGTGTCCCCAAATCCCCCCTGCTGTCCCCAAATCTCACCTGATGTCCCCAAATCTCACCTGATGTCCCCAAATCCCCCCTGGTGTCCCCAAATCCCCCCTGCTGTCCCCAAATCCCACCTGATATCCCCAAATCTCACCTGGTGTCCCCAAATCCCCCCAATATGCCCCAATCCTCCCTGGTGTCCCCAAAACTCACCTGATGTCCCCAAATCCCCCCTGGTGTCCCTAAATCCTCCCTGATATCCCCAAATCCCCCCTGGTGTCCCTAAATCCCCCCTGATGTCCCCAAATCCCCCCTGATGTCTCCAAATTCCCCCTGGTGTCCCCAAATCCCCCCTTGGTGTCCCCAAATCCCCCCGATGTCCCTTTTCCCGGTGCCAGAGGAGAAGGGGGCGAAGGTTCCACTGCGCCCGGCCAAGAGCATGGACTCGCTCAGCTCTGGAGGTGAGGGCAAAATCCCGGGAATTGGGCCCTGTCCATGGCCCATTCCCTGTCTCCTGTCCCTTTCTCCATCCCATTCTCATTCTCTATCCCTGTTCCTTTGTCCCTTCTTCCTGTCCCTGTCCCCATCCCATTCCCTGTCTCTGTCCTTTGTTCCCCATCCCATTCCCATTCCTGTCCCCTGTCCCTGTCCCCTTCTCCATCCCATTCCCATTCCCTGTCCCTGTCCCTGTCCCTTTCTCCATCCCATTCCCATTCCCATTCCTATTCCTATTCCCTGTCCCCTGTCCCTGTCCCCTTCTCCATCCCATTCCCATTCCCATTCCCTGTCCCCTTCTCCATCCCATTCCCATTCCCTGTCCCCTGTCCTGTTCCTCTCCCTGTCCCTCTCTCCATCGCATTCCCATTCCCTGTCCCTGTCTCTTGTCCTTTGTCCCCTGTCCCTTTCTCC